TGAAGAAAACTTACAAATTATGTTACTCTGCTTTTCATTCATGAATGAATCACATATAAGACTACAAGATAGATATATAAACTTATTTTTATCACTCTCCAAAGTTCCATCAACTTTTACAACAGCTATAGATTTGGGTTTGAAGTCTTGAGGAAAATCAAACTGAAATGACTTCTCATTAGATCTAAGATTAAGAAATAAATAAACCATTTATTACACATTAAATTATGTCATCTGACTTTGCCGATTATTCTGTTAAAAATTATTACTCCATTCGAAAAAATAATCCATTACTTCCTTCTTCAATAAGAGCTTGCATCATAGGAAAATCAGGATGTGGTAAAACTAACTTGTTAATGAATTTACTTCTGGATAAATTTGAAGGAGATGATTATTTAGACTATGACAGCTTGTATATATTTTCAACTACACTTTTTCAGCCCTGTTACCAAGCACTTATAAATGGTTTTGAAAATGGATTGAGTAAAAAAGATATTAGAGAATGCTTTAAGAATCAGAATTTTATGGTTGAGAAAAAAGATAAACAAGAAATAACTATTCACACTTCAGATAGTTTAGATAATATTCCTGATCCAAGTTCTATTGATCCTAATAAAAAGACTCTAATAATATTTGATGACTTGATGTTGGAGAAACAAAATAAAATAGAACAGTACTACACTAGAGGTAGACATAATAACATTGATTGTTTTTACATTTCTCAAAACTATATTAAACTGCCTAAGAATACTATCAGAGAGAATGCAAATTTGTTTATAGTGTTTCCTCAAGACAAGTTGAATTTGGATTACATTTATAGAGATCATTGTAGTGAATTAGATAAAGAAAGATTTTTAGAGATGACTTCTGAGATTTGGAAAGAGAAATATTCTTTTTTGATTATTGATAAGACTAGTGAAGCAGATAGTGGTAAATTTAGAAAGATGCTCAAGTATTTTTATATTTTTTGACTGTCTATTTTTGGGCTAGGTTTAAAAAAAGAAGAAAAAGAAGAAACCTGAGGCGCCGGCTTCACCCCTAAATTTTAGACTATTTTTTCACAATTTTCGTTTTCAGTAAAAGGTATAAATCACCTCAAAAAAGAGACTAGTGATGAAGACAGTGGTGAGTTCGTGATGTCGTTAGACCACTTTTTTATTTTCGATATATTTTTTTCAGGTTAGGTTAGGTCAATTAGGTTAGGTCAGGTCAATTAGGTCAGGTTAGGTTAGGCCAATTAGGTTAGGTTAGGACAGGTCAATTACGTCAGGTCAGGTCAGGCTAAAAAAAATAAATTCTCAAAAAATAAATGTCATAATATAAAAGGGGGATCTATGAAGCCTATGAGAGCTCCTAAATTGTGTGTAAAGCAGAATGGTGTAGAGAGAACAATGTTCCAGTAAGAAGTTTAAATCATGCGATTTCTATATTTGGACCTATTTCTAAAGGTAATGCTTTGCATAATGATAAGTATGATTATCTACTAGAAAAACCTAGAAATGAAAGAGGACAATATACCCATGAAAGTGATATAAATTTTAAAGAAAAAAGTGAAAAGAAAAGAGAAGAAACCAAATTAAATAATTTTAAAATAGAACTTGGTAAGCCTGTACCACAATATGTTAGGGATAAAATATGTGAAGGATATTAACTACTTTTTAATACTCAATTCACTCAAATAAATTAAAACTTTTTCGTTACCTAGTATTTTTATTAAATCTTCTTTATAGTAATGTAAACAATTTGCAGTATAATATTCATTATAACTTCTCCCGTCAAGTTTTCTACAAGTATACATTGTTTCCTCTTTGGATGTATTTCTAATTTTGATTGTTTTAACTATTTTATTGTTCTCAATTAGTGTTGTTAATTTTTTTATAATATCATTTTGTATTCTTTCACAACTCAATAAGTTATTCATTTGATTTTTGGTTAGTTTCTCAACGAAAAAATTTTGAAGGATCAGTTCTCATCGTTCTATTAGTTCTTCTAATTCTATCTTCTTCAATTTCTTTATCTATTTTATCCACAGCTTCTTGCCTCAATTTTGAGTCATTTAACTTGGTTGTGTTTTTGAGAGCTGTTATCTGTTTACTTAAATTATCTATCTCTTCTCTTTTGTCTATGTTAGATTCTAATAAAGCATCTTGATATCTCGCAAATAATTCAATCATTAATTTATGCTTTTGATTTGGTGCAGAAGTACTTAACAAATTAGCTGTTTTTTCTAAATCTTTCATGACTTCATTGAGTGATTGACTGTTGTTGTTTGATGGTTTGTAATTTGCTATTCCATCTACAATTTTATTAACGTAATCTAATCCTCCAAGCATTTCTACTGCCTGTTTTAGACCTTTATTTCTAAGATCTTCTTCAGTAATTGTAATAGTTCCATTTACATTATTTGTTTTGATAGTGCTTAGTGTGTTTATTCTTCCCATTTATTACACTGAAAATCAAAATCCAAAAATTCAAAATTCAAAATCAACTATCTTTGTGGAAGAAGTAGGTTTATCTTGTTAGAATTAATTTTAACTGATACTTCTTTGGGTTTGACTTCAATTGAACTTTCAGTAATAGATTTACCTTTTGTCTTCATAACAACATATTTACTGATATCCATCTCTTTTGCTAATTCTCTTAAACCATCATATAACGTTTGAGTAGAAAAGTTGTGTTGTTTTACCCAGTTTCTTTTATCAATTCTAAGAGGGGTTTTGTCTTGATCGCTGATGTACATTCTAGCTAGTGTAATTTTTTGTGACATTTAACTAGAGAAAAAATAGGCTATTGTAAGAGTTTGTAAGAGTTTGTAAGAATGTATAGAGTGTATAACAAGACCTAATGATTACATACCAATATTCAAATAAATAACCCCTAAGTCTTTCTTCTTGATTACTTTCTGTTTGACTAGTTCATCTAACATTGCATGGATTTTATTATACTCGTCTTTGTTACCAGCCTGATATGAACCAATAGATAGTCTTAATGAGTCAATTAGAGAGTTGGTATTTGATGGTATGAAAGAAATAGAACTTCCTGATGTTGAAGATGTTCCAGCTGTAGTTGGGGTCTTAGCTACAAAATATTTAGACTTTATGAACGCCCATTTATCACTAGAATCTGCATTATATCTTTTACTATTTTTATCAAAACCTTGGTACAGAGCATTAGAGCATAATAATATTTTTTTGTAATTTGAAGAATCTTCAGTTGTAACCTTGTTTAGATCAGGAGACTTTTTGAGTAGTAACTCCATCAACCCTTCAGTTGCTGTGTATTCTTCATTATTAACTTTGATAATATTTTGATCGAATGTAATGTCTTTGTTACCAATAGCATACTTCTTTTCTGCTTTGTTGAACTTGATTGAGTATCCAGCATTACTTCTATCTGAATTATCTTGAAGATAACTTACAATCAGATTACTTACAACTTGAGGTGAAGAAGAACTAGGTAGAGAGGGAGGTAGGATTACTGAGGGTTGCTTAATAAGACTTTTACGATTTGTCTTTGGTGTTGGTGTAGTTGCAGGGGCTATTGAAAGTTGAGAAGGGGATTTAAAGTTGTTTAGAGTTTCTACTATTTTATTCTTTTCATCTATAATTTCTTCTTGAAGTTTTTTGTTGGATTCTAAAATAGGTTTAAATACTTCAATTCTATAATCTTCTACATGTTCTAAGTCTGATCGCTCTTGTAAATTCTTGATTTTATGCTCTTTCCGATTTTTCAAAAAGTTGTTTACTATTTCATTACGTCGTTTTGGGTCATTTATCTCAACTACAGAATGCATTTATTACGGGAAATATCATCGATTTTAGGTTGATTTATTCAATATTTCTGAAAATTAATTATAGGTTTTAAATGATACTTTTCTTGCTCTATAAATGGAACTAGTTGATTACGAAAAATTGAATAGGGATCAACTACGAAAACCCGTAGGAAACAGAACAGGAATGAGCAGTGTTGATGTTAGAAAGAAGGGCGTGTCTGAAATGCGTAAAATACTTGAGAACTATGATAAAGATGAAGCTAACAAGCAATCTAGTTTCCAAATGAGGAATCTATTTCCTTTCGATAAAACTGTCTTTAGTGATTACAAAGAAGTTGGTGATACGTTAAGAGATACTTTTCACATTGGAGATTCTAAAACTATAGAATCCTTTTTAGATAAGAAAGGGCCTGATATTGTGAAAGACATTTTTGATGAAAGTGTGAAAATATATGTCTCATTACAATGCGAAATGAAACAAGAAGGTACAGAAAATAAGGATATAGTCCATCTAAATACAGCTAACGAAATAGTGAATCCGGCGGATGATAGAAAAGTCTTTTATGAAAAATTAAAATCAGATTTAGTAAATAGATTAGAACATTATCAAGGTAAAGGTTCTGGTTTTAGACTAAATAGAATTATTGGTTTAAGAATGTTTCAAACTAAGATTAAGCCATTATCAGGATCAAAATATATTGAATTACCAGATTGGTTAAAAAATAAGAAAGCCGTAGTTAATATTCAGAATAAAGATGTAAAATGTTTTATGTGGTGTATTTTAGCTCACTTATATCCAGTGGATCAAAATCCTGAACGAGTAAGTAAATATAAGGATCACATTTCTAAAATTAATTTCGAAGGTTTCGAATTTCCTTTCCAAGTTAAAGATGTAGATAAGTTTGAGAAGAGAAATAACTTGGCTGTTAATATTGTAACTCATGATGTCTCAGGGCCAGCAATAATTGAGTCATATAAAGTATCTAAAAACATCAACGTAGATTTAAGTAGAGTGATAAACCTTTTGCTTGTCACTGATTGTTCTGGAGAAGGTCATTACTGTTTGATTAAAAATATAAATAGATTGATGAACACCCAAAATAGTAGAAGCAATAAATTTTGTATTAGATGTCATAATAACTTTTACAATGCAGAGAAGTTTGAAAATCATTTAGCTGACTGTATGAGTAATAATCCTATACAAATGATTAAATCCCCTAAAGACTATATTAAATTTGAAGGAGTTCAGGAAACACAAAAACATAGATATGTCTGCTATGCAGATTTTGAATCTGTTATCTATAAAATTGATTCTGTTAACAATTCTCCTAACAAATCTTGGAGTGAGAATGTTGGTAAGCATAAGGCCTCTGCTTTCTGTGTAATTGTTGTGGATTCTTTCACTCAGAGTATTTACGAAATGAAGAGCTATGTTGGATATAATACTATTACAAAATTCAATGAGTATATCTTAGATGTGTGTGAGCGATTATTGAGTATGCCTGATATGGAAATGAAAAATTTAACCAATGAAGAGTGGAAAGAATATGACAGCTGTAATTCATGTCCTCAGTGTGAGAATGTGTTTGATGGGGATAAAGTTAAAGATCATGATCATTGGACTGGATTATACAGAGGACCTCTATGTAACTCTTGTAACTTGTTGAAACAGAAAAATAAATTTATACCAGTGTTTTTCCACAATCTTAAAGGCTATGACTCACATCATATAATTAGTGATGAGGAATCAAGCAAACTATTGAAGGAAAAAGGTGTTGAAATTAAAAGCATCTCAGCAAATATAGAAAAGTTTATTAGTTTCAGTTATATATACAAAAATCCTAAACGATGCGAAATAAGATTTTTAGATAGTTTTGGTTTTATGCCTTCCAGTCTAGATTATCTCAGCAATAACCTACAAGATGAAGAATGTGTGATTACTAATAAGTATTACAAGAATGAAAAGATGTTTAATCTATTAAGACGCAAAGGTGTGTATCCATATGATTTCATGGATTCCTTCAATAAGTATTCTAACACAGAACTTCCCTCAATTGAAAGTTTCTATAATAACCTATCTGGTGAGAATATTAGTAAAGAGAATTATGAATATGCTCTAAATGTATGGAAGGAAACAAATTGTAAAACTTTAGAAGACTACACTAGAATTTATATGATTAATGATGTGTTACTATTAGCTGATGTTTTTGAAACATTTAGAAATGTGTCTCTCAAAGAATATAAGTTAGATCCGTGTTGGTACTACACTTCTCCAGGATTAGCTTGGGATGCCATGTTAAAGAAAACTGGAGTTAAGCTACAAACAATTAAAGATATTGAAATGTATAATTTTATTGAAAAAGGTATTCGAGGAGGTATGTGTAATACCATGCTAAGATATTCGAAAGCTAATAACAAGTACATGTCTAATTATAATCCCGAAGAGGAATCAAAATACTTATTATATCTAGATGCAAATAACTTATATGGATGGGCAATGAGTCAGAAATTACCATATGATGAATTCGAATTCGTTGAAGACTTTACCTTAGAAATGATAGATGATCTTGTTTCAAAAGAAAAAGGTTGCATACTAGAAGTAGATTTAGATTATCCAGAAGAATTACATGATAAACATAATGATTTACCTTTCTGTCCAGAGAATAAACGAGTTGGATCTACCAATAAACTAATAAATGATTTTAGTCCAAAGAGAAATTATGTAATACATTATAAAGCCCTTTTGCAAGTTTTAGATCATGGATTAATTTTGAAGAAAATTCATAGAGTTATTACTTTTAAAGAAAGCAATTGGTTATCTTCTTACATAGAACTAAATACTAACTTGAGAAAAAATGCCAAGAATGATTTTGAGAAAGACTTTTTCAAGCTCATGAACAATTCTGTATTTGGCAAGACTATGGAGAATGTTAGAAATAGAGTAGATGTTAAAGTTGTCTCAGATATGGATAAGGTCATGAAACTAGCTGCTTGTAATAATTTCAAACAGAGACATATTATAAATGAGAATATGATTTTAGTAGAGATGGCTCAGAAGAATATTAAATTAGATAAGCCAATTTATGTGGGGATGTCTATTCTAGATTTGAGCAAGTATTTAATGTATGAGTTCCACTACGATGTTATGCTACCAAAATATTCTTCAAATTTGAGACTGTGCTATCAAGATACCGATTCATATATTTATGATATTAAAACTGATGATGTTTATGAAGATATGTTAGCTATGAAAGAACACTTTGATTTTTCGGATTATCCCAAAGAAAATAAACTTCATAGCATTGAGAACAAAAAAGTAATTGGTAAGTTTAAAGATGAGCTGAATGGTAAGATAATGACTGAGATTGTAGCCTTTAGACCAAAACAATATGCTTTTAAAACTGATGAGGGAATGGAGTCTAAAAGAAATAAAGGTGTGAAGAAATCTGTTGTTAAAAAGGAAATGACTTTTAATGACTATAAGAACTGCTTATTAAATCATACTATCGAAAGAAGACAACAAATGTTATTTAATTCGAGTAAGCATCAAATTCATACTGTAAAACAGAATAAGGTTGTGTTAAATAATTTAGTTGGTAAAGATAAAGAATCAAAAAGGTATACAGTAGATAAATAGACACTCTTGCTTTCGAGCATTATAGAATTCCTAAATCAGAGTTAGAATAGAATTTTTATAATCATGTTTTTCTAATAATTTTAATAAGAGTAGACAGTAGTATCCACAATGATGAGTATCAAATTTTTGTATTTGAAACGTAGAAGTAATTATTTCGTTTGAAGTATTATGTTTAAGATATTTTATTATTTCTTGAGGTGGGTCCAAACCAAAAGAGTCAAAATAATAATATTCACTTTTATTTACTTTATAACAGACCCAATGAGTACCTTTATTATCTGAACTATCAAGATTAATGATGCCTACTTCTACTTCTTTACGTTTTTCTGGTAAAGTATCCTTCATAAATACACCTCTGAAATCTTTGATTTGTAACTCTTTTGCTATTTCTAATAAATCTACATTTGTTAATGGTTTCAAATCTTTATTCAGCATTTAATAAAACGTAATAATGGTAAAGAATTGAATGAAAAGAGTGTTGGTTAACACTTGATTTTTTTTGCCGTTTCTTCATGGTTCTGACGGTTGATTTTTCATGTTTGCTCGACGAGAATTTTTGGCTGATTTTTCTGATTTTTTTCAGTTTTTTTCATGATTTTTTTCGTTTTTTTCGATTTTTTTTCAATTTTTCTTGCATATTTTTCGGATCTCATTAAGTGGATAATCCTGAGCTTTTGAGTGGGGTTCGAACTTTCTACCATTCAAACACAAGACAGGCGCTTTACCAGTGAGTCTCGAGAACAAATTGATAAGAGAGTTGAAAAAGTGTTTAAGTGTAGAGAATTTGTTATCAGTTGGGGTGAAAATTGACTGTTTTGAGAGGTTGAAAAAAGTGGGCAAAAGTGGGAAAGTGAGTGGGGGTGAACTGAGTTCACCAAAATCTGAGAGTGTGAAAATCGTGGATTTTGCTAAGAATATTATATGAAAAAAATAATTAGGGCAAAAAACTTGAAAAAACAGCAAAATAAAAATTTGAAAAAAGTGGGCAAAAAGCTGCACCAGAAAGGACAATTCCCTACTACTTCCGTTCAAAGTTTTGGAGAGACGCAGACAGTTAGGGAGTCTCGTCGTCTGCGTCTCCAGCCCCCGAAACTTCAAATGCCCGTATCTCCGCACCCAGTGATGCAAGAACAATGATTTTAGAACCGATATCTCTCATTTTGATTGCTCTTTTTTGGATCAAAATCAGAATATTCTCATACATTGGAAATTTCAATAGAACCTGTAACATACAGTACCGGTCAATAAATTATACGAAAATGGTTTGGATGGCGTTCTTTTAGAGTGTTTGCTGTGACTTATTGAACAGTACTGTTTCTGAATCCAACGGAATGTATCAAAGTGTATTCAAATCTATCTGATCACTTCTTGTGGAGTTATTGAGAAAAATCTGAATCTATTCTCTAGAAAAATCAATCTAAATCGATTTAAATGGTCAAACTTTGGTCAACAATTTGGTACAAAAATTGTCATATTTTACGTTTTTTTCTTTAGGATTACGGGTACTGTAAACGGAGCCCAGGAGGTTTATCCCTAAAGAGCAGTAACTCGACAAAAAATGACGTTCATCATTTTGCGATTTCGACCTAATATATCTCGATTCCTGTGAAAGATATTTGAAACATCTAAAAGCGAAAATCTTTGCCCTGATATCAGAAACATTTTTTTAGTTGCATATTTCCTGATATCTCAAACAGGAAACGAGATAATCAGGGTCAAAGAACCCATCTTTTTAAAGAGTTTCACAGAATTTTATAATTATTTTGAAAACGACTCTTTTGACTTTTTGACGCTTTTGATCATTTTGAGGCTTGCAAATTTCTGATAGTTGCTTGAGAAATTTGAACGAATAGTCAACTTCTCGTCAAAAGTTTCAAAAAAACATTTGAAACGGAACCTTATTAATTAGGTTCAAAGGAACGCTCTCTTTAAAGATTTTCACAGATTTTAAGTGAAAATTGAAGTATCATTTAAACGTGATGGAAAAAAAAATTTTAAACTTAAATTCTTGACGAAAAGAACTGCGTGAATTGGTTTAGAAACCCATGACCCAAGATGACCTCACGGAGATAAGAATACTATAAAGGAAGAGAAAAGTGGAAGGAAGAATCAGTTCTCTCTTCTCGGGGCTCCCGAGAGGGGACCGGGGAGGGGATCCGGTTCCGGATTCCTGGGTCCGGATTCCTGGGTCCGGATTCCTGGGCCGGGATTCGGGATTCGGGATTTGGGTTCGGGTTTCGGGATTCCTGGGTGCGGATTTCTGTGTCCGGATCCCGGATTCCTGAATCCTGATTCCGGAATTCCGAATCCCAAATTCCAGACCCAGTGCTCCGGACCGTGGTTTCCGAACCCGGGTTATCAAATCTCGGAATTCGGATTCCGGATTCCGGATTCCGGATTCCGGATTCTGAATTCCGGATTCCGGATTCTGGATCCTGGATCCCGGATCTCATCCAATTCACGTAGCCGAAGTGGAAAAACTTTTCTATTAGGTTACACGCACTGTAAGCGGAGCACAGGAGGTTTAGCCCCGGAGGGGCGTAAACCGACTGGTATCATTTAATGTGAGAGATATCAAAGTGGCCAACTGACAAAATTTTTATCATAATATCAAAAACGTTTTCTCAGTTGAGTACTCATTTTTATCTCAAACAGGAACCGAGATAAACTGGGTCAAAGTTAAAAGTACCCTTAACGTAAAAATTAAAGTCAAAGTTAACAGTATCCTTCTACATAGTACAGGTGTTTTACACATTACAGTTTAGGGTCATTACAGGGTACAGTTCTACAGTATAACAGGTTTTACGACATGTCTGGAGCTATCTTAACCCATTTTGACTTTATCACACTACAGAAGAATTTGTGAAAACCTAATCTAACAAAAATCGTAACTACTCACTCGTTTAAATCGATTTTAATTCTTTGATACGCGTCCTTATTCTCCACAAACTTGATACATGTCCGATTTTGGATGTAGTTCATCTGATTCAAAATCATTGGTCTCCGATCGCGAAACGGCGTTCCTCCAAAGTAGTAATTGACTTGTCCATTAGTCCATTTCGTTGACAATCGAGCCGCCTGTCGTTTGTCACGATGATTCTCTCCTGTAGGATGAGCAATCGCCCAGGAGGCAAGGAATAGGAGGAGAAGAATCTTCATTCGGTTGAGAAGAATGATTTTTTAAGAAAATTCATGAGCCTTTTATACGGTTTTTGGGCTACTTAAAATGCGGGAAAAGGGAGGATGGGGGCAATATGCAAATTTTTGCTCCCACGCTTTAATTGCAGAAAAAGGAGAAATCATCTTTTGTTTCTAGTGTTTGTATTCAATGAACAGAATAGAAAACATTAAATCTGAAAATCGAACAATTTGACTTTTCGAGGAAAAATACCTTTATGCTGAAGTGGACAAAATACTGGAATCATAAAGCCTGTATTAGAACGTCCGAAGGCCCCCGTAATAAAAAAGCCCATCAGAAGTACCTGGGAACAATAGAAGGATTCTGAAATTCTGAAATTCTGAAAATCTGATATTCCGAAATCAAGTCTTAACTTTGAGGGCAATTTATCTCAGTTCCTGTAAAAGATATCGAAAAGTGGTCAACTGATAAAATGTAGATGATATTACAATAAACATTTTATCAGTTAACCGCTTTTTGATATCCTTCACAGAAAATGAGATAAATTGGCTCAAAGTTCGGATAGCCCAATTTTCTAGTAAAAACTAGGATTCCAATTTTTCCTTCACTTCTCAAAGTGTTCTTTCTCCATTACATCATTCTTAGACATCAGTTAGTCAGTTGCATCAGTCTTATTTATTTATTTTCTTCTTTTCTCTCTCTCTCTCTCTCCCTCTCTCTCTCTCTCCTCATGAGTTAAAGGATCAAAAGATAGGAAGATGACAAATAATGATGACATGAGTGTAGTTATTATTTTTGTGGTCAGTGATCTTTTTGGTCCATTGGGAAAAATAATCTAATGTGTTTTTGTAGATACTCCAATTTTTGAAAAATCTCATTTTTACTTTTTTAAAACCAGAAAAATAGGAATTTTCGCACCTAAAAAGTATCATATACAGTGTTCTTTCCTCTTCTTCAAATGTTATAGACTTTCGATTTTCTTATCAATAAAAACTTGTTGAGTCTAGTGGAGAAAATCTAAAGAATGATTATCTGAACAGGATTCCATAGGATTTTCATGTGAATCGTAGCAGCAGTGATAGTGAGAGGGATAGTGAGTGAGAGAGAGAGAGAGAGAGAGAGAGAGAGAGAGAGAGAGAGAGAGAGAAAGAGAGAGAGAGAGAGAGAGAGAGAGAGAGAGAGAAAGAGAGAGAGAGAGAGAGAGAGAGAGAGAGAGGAGACAGAGAAGCAGACTGTTTCCCACGCCCAGACTTTACACACACTAAAGATAAGAGATGGACAGTTGTTCGTTTTTTTATTTGTAGTCTACTGGGTGGGTTTTTTTGTTTAAAATATGAATGAGTATAAATGGCACAGAAATGTAAAGAAGTTTTGGAAAAAATCTTATATAGGACTTAAAAAAATTATTTTTTCGAAATTCATAAAAACGCTCATTTTCAAAATTATTGAATCCCACTTTTTTCTATTGCTTTTTTTTCTTCAATTTTCGTAATTTTTTCCTTTCTTTTCCTTGAATTTTGCACTTTTTTGAAACTTTTGCTATTTTCCGAATTTCGAAAATTTCCAGATTTTTTTTTCAGAGCAATGACTTCTATCAATTCTCATCTCATTGAAAAAATCAATTTCTACAAAACTCGATCTGCACTTCGAGAATTGGAAATTTGCACGAATTCTGATTCGATTTTTGTCAATTTGAACTATTTGGCAGAATTATCCGAATACTTTTATGTGTGGGTTTTTTTAATTACAAAATTCAGAAATTCAGAAATTCAGAAATTCAGAAATTCAGAAATTCAGAAATTCAGAAATTCAGAAATTCAGAAATTCAGAAATTCAGAAATTCAGAAATTCAGAAATTCAGAAATTCAGAAATTCAGAAATTCAGAAATTCAGAAATTCAGAAATTCAGAAATTCAGAAATTCAGAAATTCAGAAATTCAGAAATTCAGAAATTCAGAAATTCAGAAATTCAGAAATTCAGAAATTCAGAAATTCAGAAATTCAGAAATTCAGAAATTTAAATTTCAGAAATTCAGAAATTCAGAAATTCAGAAATTCAGAAATTCAGAAATTTAAATTTCAGAAATTCAGAAATTCAGAAATTCAGAAATTCAGAAATTCAGAAATTCAGAAATTCAGAAATTCAGAAATTCAGAAATTCAGAAATTCAGAAATTCAGAAATTCAGAAATTCAGAAATTCAGAAATTCAGAAATTCAGAAATTTAAATTTCAG